GGGGGCCCCCCCATAGGGTCTAGTACTTCGTTTGAAGACGGCAGCGAAGCCTCGAGTGAAGACAACTGCCAAAGCAGTGGAGAAGAGCCACAGAGCGACGCAGACACAGAAGATATAAAAAGGCTGAAGGAGCTCGGCTATGAGCTGCAGCCGCACGAGCGTCTGCTCAGCAGCGGTAAGGGGGCCAGCAACACAGACAAGAGAGGGGCAACATGGGGGCCCCCAAGGGGCCCCCTCAGGGCCCTTGGGGGGGGGCCCCCATAGGGGCCCCCAAGGGGGTCCCAAGGGGACAACACAGAGAAAGGGGGGCCCCTTAGGGGCCCATAAGCAACCCTGGGGGCCCCCTCAGGGGCCCTGTAGCCTCGTGACTAAGAACAGGGGTCTGGGGTGTCTGTACACCTCGCTGCATGGGCCCTTGTATGCATGCATGTCTTCTTCGTATATGTAAATGGTGCTGCTGTTGCTGCTGCTGCTGCTGCTGTTTATGTTTGCTGCTGCAGCAATTAAACCCATAAAGAAAGCAGCAGCAGAAGCAGCGAGGATGGAGACAGAAGAAGAACGGCCTATCTGCGACGAAGAGGGTAAGAGACACCTGGGGATCGCCGGGCTGCAGCGTATCTGCTGCTGCAGCTTCTGCTGCAGCAGCTGCTGCTGCGTCTCCTGCTGCATCTTCTGCTACAGCGTGTGCTGGACCTGTTGCTGCAGCTTCAACTGCAGCAGCAGCAGCAGCTGCTGCATTTGTTGCTGCAGCGTTTGCTGCTGGGTGATGTGTTGCTGCAGTGTGTCCTTATGCTGCTGCTGCTGCTGCTGGTGTGTTTCAGGTTTGCTGCAGAAGCTGGAGGAGCTGAAGTATGAGCCCCCGCCCGGGATGCGGCGCGTGCCCTTTGTGGAGACACTGGCGATAGTAGCGGACCCCACACTGGGGGGGGGAGGAGACAAGCAGCAGCAGCAGCAGCAGCAGCAGCAGCAGAAGCAAAAGGAGACAATCGGTGTTGCTGACGATATAAAAAGAGAAGCTTTCTTGTGCGTCTCCTTCTATGCTGCTCCCCTTTTTTCTGTCTCCTTTTCTTTATCCTTGCTTCTGTCTCCTTTTCTGTATCCTTTCTTCTGTCTCCTGTCTCCTTTTCTGTCTCCTTTTCTGTCTCCTTTTCTGTTTCCTTTTCTGTCTCCTTTTTCTCTCTCTCCTCTTCTGTCTCCTTTTCTGCCTCCTTTTCTGTATACTTTCTTATGCCTCCCTTCTTCTGTCTCCTTTTCTGTTTCCTTTTCTGTCTCCCTTTCTTTCTCCTTTTCTGTCTCCTTTTCTTTCTCTTCTCCTTCTCTTCTGTTCCTTGTAGGCTGTGTCTGTCTCCTCTCTCTTCGTTTGTCTCCTTTGTCTGTGTTTCTCTTCTGTGTGTTTTTTACTTTTTTCTTTTCTGTCTCTGTTTCTTTTCTGTCTCCTCTGCCTATGTCTGTCTCTTCTCTCCCTCCCTTTGTATATTCTGTGTATTAGTGTCTCTTCTCTCCTGCTGTCTCTTCTGTCTGTGTTTCTCTGCTGTCCCCTTTTGTCTCTTATCTTTTCGTTTGTCTCCTATCCTTTTCTCTCTCTGTCTCCTCTGTCTCCGTTGGTTATTGTTTCTTTGTTTGTCTCTGTATTTTTATGTGTGTTGTGTTTGTATTTATGTTTATATATGTTTGTGTGTTTGTGTGTTGCTGTCTCCTCTTGCTTATGCATCTCTATAAAAATAACAACAGTGTACTATTTCTCCTTCAATACAATAAAACATTTGCTGCTGTTGCTATTGTGTCTGCTGCTGCTGTTGCTGCTGCTGCTACTGCTGCTGCTGTTGCTGCTGCTGCTACTGCTGCTGCTGTTGCTGCTGCTGCTACTGCTGTTGCTATTGTGTCTGCTGCTGCTGTTGCTGCTGCTGCTACTGTTGCTGCTGCTGCTGCCGCTGCTGTTGCTGCTTCTGCTACTGTTGCTGCTGCTGCTGTTGCTGCTGTTGCTGCTGCTGCTGCTGTTGCTGCTGCAGCGTGCAGCAGGTGCAGCACACAGTACCTATTGCGTTGGCCCGGCTGCGGGCGCTGGGGCTGCAGTTTACTCGCCCCGAGGATTTTTTGGCTGAGATGCTGAAGACAGACCAACAGATGGGGAGAATAAGAGCTCGTATAGAGGAGGAGCAGCAGCAGCAGCAGCAGTTTATAGAGAAGATGAATCGTAATTATAATAAAAAGTTTAATAAATTAAGTGGTAATAAAATTGTTAGAGAACAAGAAGAATATAGACAAAGAAATATACAACTCAAAGCAATTGAAGAGTGGAAAAAAGACAGAAAAAATATTAAAAATAAAAATATAAATAAAAATATAAATATCAAAGAAGCAGAAGAAGATTTCGATGAGTGGTTACTGGGGATGCAACAAAACAAGGAGACAGCTGTCCCCAACCATGGTCGTAGTTTTAAGCCGAAGCAGCAGGGTGTATTGGGGGGCCCCAAGAGGGCCCCACACAAACCAAGAAGACAGAAAGGGTTTATAAAAAAAAAAACAAATACAGCTGCACGCAGGAGAATAGCGGGAAAGAAAGCAAAAAGAAAAGGAAATAAATAATTTGGGGGTCTACAGAAAAAGAGAAAAAAAAAAAAAAAAGAGACAGATATAGAGACAATATATACAACCCCACCACAGAAACACACTGCAGCTCATGGATACCCCTGCTGCTGCAGCGTGACACAGCGCAGTGCAGCAGCAAACTCGCAGCTCAATACAGCCGAGGCATGCAGGCTGAGAGACTGTAAGGGGGAGGAGACAGGAGGAGACAGGAGGAGACACTTGGGGGCAGGTACACCCCAGGGGGGCCCCCAGGGGGGCCCCCATGGGGGCCCCCAGGGGGCCCCCCAGCTTTTGTTGCTGAGGAGACACACTGCCCCCTGGGCCCTTATAAAATTTGTTAAGGAGACACACAGAGGAGACAGGCATAGAACAAGGATGCTGAGGAGACAGATATCTACAGAGAAGGGCAGAGAGAGAAGAGGAGAGAAACAGAGACAGAGAGAGAGAAAGAGAGAGACATAGATAGAGACAGAGGGAGAGAGACAGAGGGACAGAGAGACAGAGACAGGCACAGAGACAGACGCAAGGGCGGTAGAGATGAGAGATTTTCCTTAACAGAAGAGTATAGTGTGCTGCAGTAGAGCGAAAGTATATATATATATATATATATA